GTACAAACCTATTTAACATCCACTATTGTAACATAATATTATGTATAGAGTTTAATTCAGTATTTGCAAGATTGAATTAACTATTTTTAAATGAATGTCTATATTGCCATGAAGCAATTAGGATTTTCTTGCCTGGGATCTTCCTATTGGTGGCCTAATCAAATGGCCGACTTGGATGTGGGGGAGTTGGATATCCATCCTTGGTCTCTTGCAGTCTGTACTTAGGCCTGAGAGACGGATGATGCTCTCATATGGATGATGAAGGTTTCTTATAAGGATTCCTTTGACCTTTGACTGAAAAAACTCTTCACTTCCCTGAGTCCCCCTGGATGAAAACATCTGCTAAGTGCCTGATTATTTAAATAACATCCAGCAGCTTGAGTAAATCAAACTATAAACCTGTTAATGACAGGTCATAATTTAATGACAGCTTGTGATATTAGCCATTGTGAGTTTTTTCCATGCTGTTTTCCTACTTGACCTTTTCATCTCCAGTTGTTTCATTTACTCTGTTTTCTGAATCTTCTCACAACAAACTACAGTGTGTGTGGAAGCAGATCTGTTTCATGTTTTCAACATGATGACTTATGAGCTCCCATCTATTAATTCTATATTTTTGTTACTCTTATTTCCTCTCCTCTGTATTGCAGGACACATTGTGGCCACTAGGTGGAGCTTTTGCTATGAAAGTGTCTCACCTGTGCCTTTGACCTCTTTAAATAGGTACCAGTATCACTCACTAATCTGTAAATCCAGAGATGTTTGACAGATATAAAAATCAATTGGTAAATTTTTAAATCCATTCAAATTCATGAGGAGGTTTCTAAATGGCTCCTCATTAAAGAAGGTTTTGATAACAAAGCCAAATGTTTGAAGGATTCCTGGAAAAATGAGTTTAATATCAAGTACATCTGTTTCTGTTAAATCAGAGGGTCCTTATGATTTTGTCCATGAGTATAAGACATTACCTCCAACCATATTATGCTCCTGTGGTATTTTAGACTGTAGCATGATAATGGAGGCAGTTAAACAAATGAAAAAAATCTGATTTCAACTTTCGTGGAGGACATTTTGTATTAATATGTTTTATTTCATCAGCCCAATAAACCCTGATCTGAGAGAGAAAAGAATATTTTGCCCAATTATGCCGAACATCTGTGGCTTCATGTCTGCTTTTGGCTTCAGATTACAGCAGACTCGGCCACATGAACCCAAGCTCAGCCTGCTCATGCATTTATTTTATTTTCACTGGGTCCACCCGGACCTATAATACTACAAAACCACAATCCATGTAAAAATAAAAGCCTGTTTATGACATTTGGGCCGTATCTGGAGCATCCACAGAGTTTCCCAGGCTGGGAGCAGCTAGTGGCCTCATGTGAGGCAAGGCAAGTTTATCTGTATGGACAATTCAGAGTGCTTCACAGAGAATTTAAAAGCATAAAAACAAGAAAAGAAAAAGGATAAAAATTGGACGAATAGATGAAAAGTGAAGTGTGCAGATAAAATACATTTAATATCCACTTGCACAGTTAAAAAGAAG